TAAGTAATTGCCGATTTGTTCAATGAAATAAAATATTTTTTTTACTTGGAATGAAGTTTAATCTGTAATGTATTTTCCATTTTGTTCGATGACCTTTTGCCATCTCACTGACAACTTGAAAATTCCACGCTCGTAGAAAGTCTGATTCTTTTCGGCCAGAAACTAAGTTAAGTGAGATTTTACAGCGTCATCATCATTAAAAGTTTTATCACGAAGGGAGTTGTCCAGGGATCGAAATAAGTGGTAATCCGATGGCGCGAGATCAGGGCTATATGGTGGGTGTAACATCAACTCCCAACCAATATCCATCAATTTTTGCCGAGTGGACAAAGACGTGTGCGTCCTAGCATTGTTCTGGTGGAAAATGACACCTTTACGATTGACCAACTCTGGTCGCTTTTCCTTGACCGCTGCATTCAATTTGTCCAGTTGCTAACATTCACAGTTAATAAAAAAATAACATAATAATAATAATAATAATAATTTTATAATATAACACTTACGGATATCATAAAAATGGGAATGAGAGACATCTATAACTGAAATCGGCAATTATTTAGTTGCTAACCCAATATTTCACTCATAATTTCATATTTTACGCGGATACCTCAAAGGACAATACAATTGTCGGGAAACAATGAATTTTCACTATAATCTTCACCAAAACTGTTTAAAAAGCACACGTTCAGTATACGATCGTGAAAAACCTTTGCAGAAAGTGTCTCGTAGTTTTCGTTTAATAATTTTGTTTGAATTTCACTCGTAAATTTAAATTTTACTCAAATACCCCAAAATGGAATAAATTCGTGAAGAAATAATGAAATTTCATCCGAATTTTCACTGAGATTGCTTAATTCAGCACATGTTCATCAAAACAAATTGCGCTAATTATCCTAGTTTTCATTCATTCTCGTGTTACACCGTAATTTAACCAATTGATTCTCAAAAAAGCAACACACAAGACCTAATTTTTTTCAAGGTGATATTCGTGCTTCTCGTGCCTCGTTACACGCGTACTGAGCATCGAGAACCGTCTGAAAGCGATCGCAAAAGTTTTCACACTTGACGGTGAGTCTTAAAAAATTTTAGACCGAAAATGGTGCCAGAGACATACGATCGCTTGATCTTTTCGAATTTTCTTGGAAAATGAGTTTTCTATTTTTTTTCAAGACAATATTTGTGCTTCCCGTGCCTATTTATGGGCGTATCAAGTATCGAGAACCGTCTGAAAGCGATAGGAAAAATTGTTACTCTTGCCGGTGGGACATAGAAAAATTGACTAATTTCCACCCCTCTGCGTCGAAAGAGATCGACTTTGTCAAATCTTCGTATGATCGCAGCCGAGCGAGGCGTGCCGAATAAAATCGCCGGATGTCCATTCAGGCCAGCGTGGGTAGCATCACGATACATATTTGTAAGAAGCACGCGGACACTCGTAAGGAACCCTAAATCGGCCGGCAACACATCGCGACCATCGTTCCTGGCTACGGTACAAGCTGTTCCATATGAAATTTTTATGTCGCATTTCTCCGTTCGCCGGCTACTCGCCGAATCCCGGACTTATCTCCGAATAGTGACAATACACTCCGCGCGTAGGCAACCGTAAAAAAGAACCGGGATAGCAACTTCACGATGTTTCTGGACCGAGCAACCTCTCGATAAAATCAGTCCACCCTCCAAGACTGTCTGTCATTTCGTCTGCGTTCCGTTTTATCTCGGTTGCCAGATGAAACTAGCAGATCCGTCTCCGCAGATTTCTTGGCCATCGCTTGCGCTGTTAAACGCGTTCCGTATGCCAGTATCTACCACGCCCGAAAGCAAATGATTCGATTCCCTTGTCTCTGTTCACTATCTTTCACGTGGAAACGACCGGAGCAGCAGACTGAACTTTTACCTCTAACAATACGTGCCGTAGTTAATCAGAAGACTGGAAAAGATGTATTTGGATTTTTTATTTTTCAAACATGTTGTTCACGTAAATAAATCTATCTAACGAGATCTACATACGATACTACATTGTTGTATAAATCGGTGAAGATTTAATGTAGCATTTTAATTGAGTAACTGTTTTAAAGATTTTATTGCATGTTTGTTGTGAATATTTCAAGGTTAATTAAATAATTTTTATGGCGGATGGTGGTGCTTTTTATTTTGAAATTTTTCATAGAGAAATCTAGAGGAAGGCTGTTAGCAGGATTTTGACAAAACTGGTACTTTAACTCTCTGCTGTTTCACTGGGTCTAAATGACTCAGTTTTTTATTCGAAAAAGTGAAATCAAGAACTAATTCAACGGACTTGGAAGTGAGATGTTCAAGTTATTAGGTTGGAAACTATGAAACGGGCGTTTTTGTTTAGTCTGTGTTTAGCTGCGACTGAGAGAGATTCATTGTAACATGCGCTCGATATTTTTATTTATAAATTTTAAAGGTACTCTTCTTACTCATTTCGCAACATTTTTTCGTGTTTGTATCCCATTTTTATTTCATTTTTCTCCGAAACCAGATGAAAACAAAACGCGATTTACATCTATTTTTCTTGTACGAGTTCAAATTGAATCATAGCGCAGCTCAAGCGTCGAGAAACATTTATCATGCATTCGGAGATGGATCCACTAATGAAAAAAATGCTCAATATTGATTCCAAAAATTTTGTTCTGACAAATTTGAATATCGCCCCCCCCCCATAAAATTGCGGTTTTTGTTTTTTATTTTTATTCAACCAAATTCCAATCTAATATATTTTCTTTTCGGGTATCAGTAGTGTTGCTAATTTTTCAGTAATTTTAATGAATTCGGATAGCAAGCGCAACAGCGGAGGGTTAAGTTTCGTTGGTAGCAGGATTTCTATAGTATATTATACTTAAAGTGCTTTTAAAATAATGCGGTTAAGTATTAAAATGAAGTGTGAATATTAAAATACAATATTTCAATGGATACAATACACAATACTATTGATGTTCGTAATACAAAATTCAACTATGTTTCTATACTCTATTTTATCACTAAATTGTAAAATTTCTATAAAGAATATGTACATATCGTGTATTGTACAAAACTTTTTTAGGAAAATATACAAAAAATTAAAGGTAAAATGAAACTGTATTCTCATTTATTTTTATCAGTTTTTGAAAATTATTATTAATTTAAAAG